GAGGTAGATTAGAGGAGTTAAGACTACAATCTTTTCAAGGATAGATTCAGAAAAAACGAATTCTCTGACAGTACTTAAGTAGTAGTTAAAAAGGGGCAATGATATCAGAAAAAGAGGGTTACACTGAGTTTGAAGTATTTCTGAGTTCATTTGTAACCAAAAAGAATCTCAGGTGAGCTTTGTCAACCTTCTTTTCTCACAACTGAGAAGAAAAATGACTTATTCCAAGTCATAGCAGACCCACCAAGCTCATTTCTATTTCAATCTCATTCTTTAATTCCTGCCACAGATGACTTAAGACTGCACCATTCATTGAACTGAGGAAAAACCCTTTTCACGTACAATGTCAGAGGACAGGTCCTTATAATATTATGTCTTACACAAGGGATATGTATTACTAGCATTTTATGTTAGATTCTGATTTTCACAGACAGTTGTACAAGAAATATAGATATTTGCAATATAATGTTTATGCTAAATACTAATATGAGTTTGTAACTCCCTAGTACTATCTGCATAAACCTATAACTCAGATACATTGTGGGTTATATTAGGAGTGCTGTTTGCAAATATAACCACAAAGCACATTATTTCTGTGTAAGTTCCAAGTTCTCAATAATTTTATAAATTTACAGTATAATCAATCCCATCCTAAATTAGAAACTGCCAACATGCAATGATCCAAATTACAAACTAAATGTGATAAAAATCACAAGACTTCATTTTATAAAAAACTCTACTTCAGGGTTATGTATTTTTAAAAGTACCTATTCAGGTATATTTGACAAAGAGTACCATTTACCCACATCTTTATACTAATGTTTCTCTGGAAAGCTAAAATGTCAAAAATCCCAAACTCATTAAGTTTGGGAAAAAAATCTTTACTGTGCATTTTAATTAAGTGTGCAATAAATAAATATTTTCATTAAGTGTTCAATAAATAAAATTATTTCTTAAATCAAGAACTGAAACATGTCATATAGTTATCTAGAATGACTACAAAAAATATATAGAAAAGGTATATCTGAACTGGCAAATGAAGTTTAAAGATTGCCGGCCCCCCCACAAACTTTCCTCTCTAAAGCTATTGTGTTTCATAAATTAAAATTTGTATGATCAATTTCTTAAATGGTCTAATACATTAAAAACCAATGGCTATCCTACATAGTTTTGTAAAAAATGGGAAAGCCCCCAATATTATCACTATGCATGCAACTTTGGAATTAGGACAAAGATCAGGCCAGTTTTTATTCTCTATGTGCTTAGGAAATTCCTGAGTTAACTGTTTTTATCCAATAATGATGACACTAAACTCTGGCTGGTCATTTAGGAGCACATTTAAAAATATAATCAAATTAACTGAAAAAGAAAACAAAACTTAACATTTGTATAGGTTAATAATCTATATTCAGTTTCTCCAAAAGTAACCGAAAGCAATGTTTTAGTAAAAGTTGTAATCACATATTTTAATAGCAATTTCTACTATAAAAATGAACTGAGTAATCCTTCAATAAGGAAATAAAAAGCTACAGTATACTACTGTGATAATAAAAATGAAACACTTGGAAATGGTATTCTAAAGTATTCCAAAAAGAGCAAAACACGTAATTAAGTATATTATGTAACAGTAATAATGGTCTGGGTATATGATTATCTACAAACCTGAATAATTAAGCAGTTCCAGATTATACCTTATAAATGATCATAAGTCCTTTATATTATTATTTGCAAGTTTTTCAATGAAAATAGACAATGGAAATATTCTACCTGTTTACTCAGACAGCTTTTCTGCAATTTCAATTATACTTGTCATTTATTACTATATACAGTATTACCTATCATAGCTATTAGTTTGAAATTATTAAAAACTCTTGATAGATGCAAAACATTCTTCAATTTAGACCCATATGTCTCTTAAGCAAAATTCAATATAAATTAAGCATTCTAACATGCCTTGAAAAAAATCCTGATGACATTTTATGTTATAGAGTACACTGAAATATTTTCATCTTTCATAAGCCAAAAAGTTTAAAAAAATTTTTAAACATGAAAACATTTTTACTAGACTTAGACGACAGTACTATTTAGTGGAATAAATGGGTCTGATCTCTAGCTACATATAAGGAAAGCAAGGCACAAAAGTGTCCATCTTATAAACTGCACGGTCATTGCCTAACCAAGCGACCGATGCGTTACCATCAAGTTACACTGAATGTGAACCACTTCCATATGCCATGAACAATAGCAATACCCTAAAACAACTGTCTCTGCAATGTCTATGCAATTCCAATTTATCAAGAGGGTTATGGTAAAAACTTTTGGGTGAAAAAGCTGGAAAGGAAGAGTTACGAAAGAAGACAAAACAAAACGACTTATTTGTGGGAGCAACGCATCATTTATTTCTTAAATGATACGATGTAAAGTTTGTAGCATTAATAATCAAACCGTCAACCGCTATTCTATTTCCTTTTCAAAAAGTGTTTCATCTTGCAGCCGGTCATACAAAACCGGAGTCTATTCACCCTTGGGAAAAACGTCAGAAACATGAGTGGAAAATCTGTAACAAATAAATACATAAACTCGCACAGAAAATAAGAAATAGAATTTGGGGTACGCTCATGACGGCAAGTTAAACCCCTATCTTAAAATAGTCATTCAAATGAGGGTAATAATCAAGCCTTCTGTAGCTGAATAAAATACAAAACTTTTCTTCTTCCAAACTTGGGAAAATTTCTAGCAAACACCTTACTCAAAGACTCGACATAAAAAAAAAATGTTTTTCCTAATAAAAAAAACTTAGCGCCAAAGGGAACAACAACTGTCCCCGGGTGTCTGAACCCCGGGAGGCTGCATTTTGCAATGATGGGACAATGCTATCAGCAATTAGAAAAGGAATGAAAATGTGATCCACCAAACCAATGAAATGTAAGAGCCTGCCACAGATTAAAGAATCAATGACATCAATTACCGGAGAGAAATAAAGACCGCGGAATATGTCCATCTATCGCTCCCCCCATCCACCCACACCACCACCCCCCCCCCCCCCCCCGCTCCGGTTTCAAAATACAATCCAGCACACACCTCGGGAGACAAGGACAAGAAGATTAGACTGAGTCTGTATTCAAGTGCCTAGCCTAGCTGGGGATTAGTTCATTAATCGGCGATGGGAAAGGTTGCGCGGATGCTCGGGTCCGACGGGCTTTTTTTTTTCCTTTTCATGATTTCCAGCTCCAGCCTCCGCCGAGTGCCAGCAGAGAAGGCAGGCAGAGCGCCGAAGCTAGGGGGCACGCTGCAGCCAGGGGAACAGAAACATGGGGGAAAGGTGCAATGGATGCTGCAGAGTTGAATAATTATCTGGGTGGCACAATGGGCGAGTCCCGCCGTCCTCGGGGCCTCGGCGGCGCGTCCTTAACTCTGCCCGATCCTCCTCCGTCCGCCGCCTCCCCCCACACCCACCCTCCGACCCACCTCCCCACCCCCAGCCCCCCAGCCCCGATAGGAACAGGCGTCCGGGGGCGACCGCCCCGCTTCTTCTTCCCCGGGCAGGCGACCGAAGCGAGGGATTCCCGCACTCGCTCTCCCGGGAGGCTCCAGACACACACGCCGGGCGCACGCACGTCGCGCGAGCGGGGGGCTTCTCCGCCACCGGGGCCGAGGAGGGGGGGGTTGCAGCTTCCCCGAGAGCCCGGGGCGGGAGGCGCGGGCGCCCGGCTCGGCTCCGGCGGCAGCGCAGGTGAGACCCGCAGTCGGTCTGCCTACAGTCGCCTCGGGGCGCGCCCCACCGGTCGCCGCGGGCTTCTCTCGGAGCAGCAGGCGGGTGGGCGCCGGGGCTCGGGAACCCCGCGGACGGGGATGGGGACGCGGATGGGGGTGGCGGCGGCGGGGGAGGCGCACCCATCCCCGTCACCTTTGCCGGGCGAGAGCGCCACACGCCCCTTCTTCTCTCCGTTCTGGCCGGCTCCGAAGAGTTCCACTCCCCGCACGTTCATCGCCCAGGCCCCCTAACACCTCCCCGCCCCCCAAAAGGTGGGGAAAATAACACAATTCCTGAGAGACTCGCGCTCACCGAGAAATCTTGGGGGGCTCCTGCCTCAGCCCTGCTTCATGCTTCGGCGGCGGCCGCCGGTCCCCCTCAGCTCCACGAGACTCCACCTCGAGCGTCCAGCGCGCCAGGCTCCCGGGGGGGAACCCGCTCCGGCCTGCGGCCGATGCTACCTGGCCGCGGGGGGAACGGCGCCCACCGCTCGCCGGACCCACCGAGTGCTGGACGCGCGAGCGAACAACACCGCGAACCGCCGCCGCCGCCGCCGCCCCCAACCCGCCCCCTCCCCGCGCGCGACGCTCCACAACCGGGAGCGGGGACCCGCGTCTGAAGCAGGGGGGACCGCGGGACTCTCGCCCCCTAAGGTCCCGTCCTCCCCGTGCCAGAAGCTCTCCCCTGACAGTCCACGACCAACAACTTCAGATGCTCGCTCGGCTCCTCGGCCCCCTGAGTGCCCAGGTGCAGCCGCGGGGGCCAGCCCAGCCTCCACCCACACTCACCCCGCTGCGGAGGCTGATCTCGCTCGTCTCCCCCCCCCGTTTCCCGGGGCTATATGGTATTGTCCAAGCCTCCGTTTGGGGGGAGGGGGACGGAGAGAACAGTGCTTGGCCCTGGAACGAGGGATGAGGAGAGCCAATTGAATGAAGCATCCCTTCGGGGGCGGGGTCATTTAGGCCCCGCCCCCTACGCCCCGCCCCCCAACCTCAAACTACACTTCCCATTGTGCTTCTCCCATTTCCCGCCGCGGTGCACGCCGGGATTGCAGGCCCTCGCGTTCTCAAGGTATTTCGGGACTCGTAGTGCTCCCTGTAGTCCAGCCGGGTCCTGGAAGTTAAATCCCATTAAAAGTCTTCCTATTTTCTCTCGATCAGTGTCTCCCAATACTAATTTCCGTTCTGCTTATTCTAATAATAATTTATTTATGAAAAGTTTTAAAAATGATTTTCTAGTAAGCAAATAATGTCTATTTTTTTTGGCAATCTGTCAGGACCTGAAAGCCACTTCTTCCGCCCGGGCCTGGTCTCTCCTCCTAGGATCTGTTGCCATCATGTCGGCTGCGATTGCAGCTCTGGCTGCTTCCTATGGTTCGGGTTCAGGGTCCGAATCGGGCTCGGACAGTGAGGGCGAGCGATGTCCGCTGCCAGCCGCCGACTCCCTCATGCACTTGACCAAATCACCCTCGGCCAAGTCTTCCCTGGCGGTGGCGGTGGACTCGGCTCCCGAGGTGGCAGTTAAGGTAAGCGCTGGAAAACATCGGACGAGGTGCGGAAATTGTCGGCTTCTGCTATTCTCTTGCTAGACGTGGGTTACTTCTTCCTCGGCTCAGAGAGCTAAATCGCTAACGCCGTGTCTCCTCGTGGACGTCTTCCTGGGGCAGGATAGAAAGTTCGGAACAATCCTCCACCGCCTCCCGCCATAGACAACCAAGTAGGATGGAGAGTGGAATTTGTATAAATGGATTGGGTTGGGGTACTGCTGCAGCTGGGTGTGATCTCGGAACAGAAATAAAGCGAGATGTGGATCTCCTAGTCTGCCTTCCTTGAAACTTGCAAGTGGCCTGACTTCGTTTTGTTTTTAGAGTCAGAAGCAGATTCTGATCCCGGCTCAATAACGTGTGAATTTGTGAATTACTCTTTTTCCTCATCTGTGTAATGGCGATAATTTTAGAAGCACCTACCTCGGTTAAGAAACTGAGACGGTGAAATTATAACAAGCAAATTTTACCACTCAGAACCTGGTATCTAATAGAAGTACACATAGTGTTTGGGTTATATACATCACTACATTCAGAATAGGGGAGAAAAAGACCATGGATTTAAGGAACTGCATAGTGCATAATACCAGCTGAGAAAGATGAAAGAGGGAGAAATGGAGTTACATAGGTAATTTAATATTTTTATTGCTTAAACATGTTATTTGCCTGGAACTTTCCTAAGGGTTGAAAAATGCAAAGACCGAGGTGTACCGGATGTGTTTGTCTTGCTGGTGGATACATTGTAGCGGAAGAGGCAGCAAAAGCTGGTAAACAAACGTGGGTGGTAGATTTGATTGAGTTCTACGAAGAATCAAAAGTCTCAGGTAGGTGGATGAGAACAAGGTTTCCATAAATTGATCTTGGAAGTGCTCTCTGAAAAAAACAGCCTTCAAGAGCTAAGAAATACCAGCCTCGTGGAAACTAAGTGTTTCCAGGCAAAGCAGTTGCAGCCTTGAATGGGGAAGAGCTGTCTTGTTTGGTCACAGGAAGAAAAGTGGGTGTGTCTGGAGCGAAGGAAGAGAGCACCTCAGCTCCGTGCGTTGCTCAGACTCAGGAGAGTACGACAGGAGGTCAGAAGTACAGAGCCGAGGTGAAGGGAAGTAATGTCCAGAAGCTCCCTTGAATTTCTCAAGCCCAGTTTCCTAACGTAGGATATCTTGTACAACTTTTAAGTGAACTATTTACGAACTGTACTTTTTGCTAATGGGTGTTTGATTGTAACTCTGCTTAGAATTCTCTCTCATAACAAACTCCTCATACACCCATTCGCCCATTTGTACAGCAAGTCTTCGTCTACTTTTAATTCATCCCATTTCTCCTCAGCTCAGTGCCTGGCTGGCTTTCACCTTAGCGGAAGCAACTCCTCACTTGGCAGTTTCTGCCTTTTGACTTGAATTGCTTAAGTCACTCTATTAAGCAGCTCCTTCTTCAAAAGTTCTCTTCCTTTAGCTTCCCTAGGACCATTTTCAGCCTTCTGAGCCCAGGTTCTTCCACCCACCTTGCAATATTAATGGTACTGGGGACTGCCTTTGTACCTGTTGGCATCTCTCTAGTGCCTTTACCCTCAGTCTGTGCTTCTGAGGACTTAGGTGATTGGCTCCGGCTGTAAGGATTTAAAACCCTGCCTCTAGCACTTAGTGATTACCTGGCAAAGTCATCTAATATTTTCTGTTTAAGAATTTTTCTCATTTTGGAAACAGGGATCCCCTCCCCCCACACACACATACAGGCGCACACACATACAGGCGTAGGAGCTGTCCTTCAATCTTATTTCCTCTTCTCTTTGTCTTTACAGGTATGCCCACCCCCTTTTCGTATTTTTATTAAGTACTTGCTACATTGCAGTTAATTTGCTTTTTTCTTTCTCAGAACTGTAATTAAATCATGCGCACAGAGATTGTTACTTTTTTTTTTTCCGGTTAAGGGGTTTGCCTTGCATGCAGCCTACCGGTCAGCCCAGGTTAGATTCCTCCGCCCCTCTCGAGAGCCCAGCAAGCTAAAAGCTGGCAAGCTACCCGTGATGTATTCGATATGCCAAACACAGTAACAAGTCCCACTGTGTTACTGGACCCGCTGGAGCAAATCGATGAACAGTGGGAGGACAGTGCTACAGTGCCTACAGTTTTAATGTCTCTAGTGTCCAGTACACAAGATTAAAGAAAATATGTTTAGTGGGAGAATGAAAAGATAAAAGTCAAAAAAGCCTGTGCATGGAGAATCAATTTGCATTAATAGGGTAGAGGTGAAGGAATGTCTGACTTAATTCAGTCACTGCAATTACAAGAAAACTCAGGAGAAGTTGCATATAAAGCAATAGATTCTTTAGAAGCAGACCTGGGGCTAGATGACCCAGTGATCAAGATTCTATGAGAGAGAGGGAGGTTGTTCATCACTAGTTTGTGAACTTAAGTGACTGTATGCAAAAAGAATCACTTTGCACATAAGTGCAAATGTGACCAAACAGCAAAACTAAAACAAAAAATCACAGAGAGAGGTCACTTTCCTCACACGTGGCAAGCTGGGTTACATCCAGTTCCATATAGGGTGCCCCAAGTCCTACCTCCGAGTGGTTCCTGTGTGCAGACCCAGTAGTAACCCCGGAGCACTGTGGAGTGTAGTCCAAGAACAAAATAACCCCGCAAAAGAAAGATCAAGAGAAGAGATGTAAACTGTACAAATATATTCATTTGTAACTCATAATTAGTATTATATCTAAAAGCTAGTATTTTGGGCAGAATATAAACTTATGCAGTGTTCCTCACCTATTTTTCCCAAATGCTGATGAGGTTGAGCATCTTCGTATATTTTTCTTTTTGAAATGACTTGTGCTATCTTCTTCTTTCAATTTATATATCTTCATATTTTGGATACTGCCCTTTGTCCCATGTGTTTCTTGCCTTTTCAGTTTATGGCTTTTTATTCTCAGTATTTTGTAAGTTCTATCAAATTATTAGATTATGAATTGTGGCTTCTCTTTGAAAACCCTTTTATCCCAAACTCATAAAAATATTTCGTTTTCTTTTGAAAGCACTTTATTTCTGTTTTTTACATTTAAGACCTAAACCACAAGGAATTACATTTTGTGTGTAGTGTGAATATTCTTAATAATATAATGTGATCTTTACTAGAGCTTCCCTGCAAACTTTACTGCTGTTTAGAATCTCTTGGCTAGTTCAGCTCCTATAATTTTATATGCAGTTTCAAACACCCAGATGGGATTTTGTTTGGAATTACAATGAATAATAGAAAATTTGGCAACAGTGTTAAATCATTTGTTTCAGATTTTCTTAGGATTTTACTCCTTCCAGAGTTTTCAATGTCCATTTATTAATATAGTTTTTGGTCTGTAGATTTCTAGGAAAATATTTTTTGTGCCGTTCTATTAATAAGTAGTGTTATTTTCCTATTTAAGTAATTTTCTAAGTGATCTTAACAATTTACCTAGTAATTGAGCTGCAAAAATGACAGTTTTTTTTGTTGTTGTTTGTTTGTTTTGCTTTTTGTGTTACAGCCAGCGATACTCGGTTTACACCTAGCTCTGCACTCAGGAATCAGTCCTGGCTGTGCACAGGTGACCAGATGGGATGCTGGGAATTCAACCCGGGTCAGCCATGCTAATGCTCCAGCCCCAAAAAATGACAGTTTTTTTAAACTGGGAGCCAGGAGATAGCTCATAGTGGTAGAGCACAGGCCTAGCACGTGTCAGACCCTGAGTTTGGCTACATGGCCAGGCACAGCCCTGGTGACCCTAGCACTCTCAGGCCAAAGAATGGCAGGCATGCATGCTGCACTGACCATTGCAGGGAGCGTTCCAAGCCTTCCCCACCCACAGCATTGAAAATAACTAAGTTTGACAAATTTGAAGGGAAGAAAGGAAAAACTGAGAGCCAGAGAGAGAGAGTATGGGGTTTTAAAGTCCCCTAAGCACCACCAGGAGTGATCCCTGATCACAGCTGATTATAACCCAATCCTGTCCTCCACACAAATTTTTTTAAGATTCCTAAATGGAGAAAAGGAGTCACTTTATAGTGATATGAGGTTCATTTTGCCAAGAAGTATGTAACAATTTTAATATATGGTAGTGGGATTGGTGTTCAGATATTGAATAATCAAATATTGTGAATTACTTTAGTAAAATAAAATTTATATATACCTAATATAAACTCAAATTAAGCAGAATTACTGGAACTAAAAGGAGAAATTGACTAATCTACCATCACAAATAAAGAGTTTAATAAAGCTCTCAGTAGTTAAATAAATACCAATGATACATAAAATTTGTAAATTATATCAACAGACACAAATAATATAATGTGAATTTTTTTAGAATATTATTTTTAAGCACTAACAATATTTAAAAAAAAAATGACCATACGCTTGCTCTCAAACCTGTGTTCTTCCTTGATTAGGTATCCCGCTTGCTTGTCTTTTTCTGTTTTTCTGTTTCCACTCCAGAAGCCTGTGTTCTCTCTGAACAGATGCTTCTGACTTCTCACCCCTTCCATCTTTTGAAATATGTTTCTGTAAAAACTAGGGGTCGGGGAAGCTGACCATATTTAGACCAAGCTCTGGCAAAACTGGCTAAGAATCACACTTTTTTTTTTTCCTTAAATTTTTATTAGTGAAAGAGCATGCAGTACAGTTGTAGACTTACAAATTTTTGTGCTTGGGTTTCAGTTATACAATGATCGAATACCCATCCCTACACCAGTGCCCATTCTCTACCACCACCAGTCCCAGTATCCCTCCCACCCCCCACCCCCCCATCCCACCTGACCTCTGTGGCAGGGCATTCCCTTTTGTTATCTCTCTTTTTGAGTGCTGAAGAATCACATGTTTTTACTAGACACAGTGTTTGTAACTTTTCTCTATTGCTTTTTTTTTAACAGCTCTTTTTAAATGTAAATACTATTATTAGTTTGTAGGTAAAAAAAACAGACTGTGAGCCGAATTTGACCTGAAACTGTAGTTTACAAACTCTT